CATATGTATTTGTTGTGTGTGAAAGTCATTGCAGCACTAATTAGTCTAGTCAGTTTCCAGGTCTTCAGCTGTCACCTCGGCTGTCACAGCCTGAGTAGTCGACTATTGCTTCATCTATTTCTTTTTTCTCTCACTGCCAGAGCTACATAGATCAATCAATCAGAGTTTCTGTTCCAGCGCATTACTCATTAGCTCCTAAAAAGCTAATTTTTAACGAAAGTCATGACATTATTATTGCACTTGTACTCCGAGTTGTACTCCAACATGGCGGATGTAATAATTGGCCACGCCTACTGCAACCTATCTATACATGTACTTGTACATGTAATACTTAAAGCGAAAGTTGATTGGCACTTTACATCAATACACTTACATGTGTATGTACAGGTACATATGTAAAATGATCATAACTTCCTACACAGCATAAGGGCATCAAAAATTGGCCATTTTAAAAAATTTTCATAACTTGAAAAATTGATCTCGGAATCAGCTCAAACTTTCTACACAGCATAAGGACACTGATATGTATAGTCGGTTTCAGTTGAGTTTGACCGGATGTTTTCATCATCAAAACGTCACGTGTAGCCCCACCCACACGCAAATAAAATGGCTGAAAACTTCATCATGCTCCTTTCTTCTTGTTGTAACTTGTTTATTATCCTATTTTGGTCACTGCTAGCCCTGCAATTGACATGAAGGATCTTTGTGCTTGCTATTTACCTGAAAAAAGAATCAAGAGATGCAAAATTTCAACGGAGTTTCTAAGCGGCAATGTTGAAGACAAATAACGAAGGCTTAGAGAAGTATAGCAGACTAAGTGAGACTTCTTTCTGGAGTGCAAAGACTTCTTTCTGGAGTGCAAAGTCTTCTAGTTCAATTATATCTTGGCCTGGAGTGATCCTTTTGCTTTATTTGATTTTTAAATGATAAAAACATGATTATTGACATATTTAATGAGATGCAAATGATATTTACGAAGCTTCACGTCATGAAACATCATGGCGGCTCCCTTTCATGTTGACCGGAAGAACCCTTTGAGAACCTTCCAGAGTACCTAGAGACTCCAAAATTGGTACAGATTTTCGGAAGAACCCATTTTGCAACTATACCAAGTTTCAAATTGCTAGCATAAATAATAAAGAAGTTATAAGGGTGGGTCAGTGGTCAAACTCAACTGAAACTGACTATATCAGAAAATGTAATAAAAATTTGGGGCAATTTCAGAGCCATTTTTTGGAAAAAACCATAGGCTATAGCCTTGGGAATTTTTCAGATTTTGGCCAATTTCTTAAAATGGCCGTAACTTGAAAAATTGAAGTCAGAATCAGCTCAAACTTTCTACACAGCATAAAGACAACAATATGTATCAGAAAATGTAATAAAAACTTGGGGTAATTTCAGAGCCATTTTTTGAAAAAACCATGGGCTATAGCCTTGGGCATTTTTCAGGTTTTGGCCGCTTTCTTAAAATGGCCATAACTTGAAAAATTGAAGTCAGAATCAGCTCAAACTTTCTACACAGCATAAGGACATCAATATGTATCAGAAAATGTAATAAAAATTTGGGGTGATTTTGGAGCCATTTTTTGAAAAAAACCATGGGCTATAGTACAGGGCAATTATCAACAATTGACTCATTCTTAAAAAATCTAAAACTATTAATCAAAATCAGCTCAAACTTTCTACAACAGTGGTGGATTATAATAGTGCCAGTAATTATTAATTAAAAGAGGTCACATGACTTGATTACCTCCTAATAATCTAATTAATCCAATTAATAACTGACAGTCCCTCCTCTCTCCATTAATAGCTGACACTTTACTTCTATCTATTAATTAAAAATAAAATAATGATCATCATGATCATTATTTTCATGCTACAAGTTCTCGTGCTCCACCCACTCACCCACTAATTGCAGTTGACAGTCAAATTTCGTAATCTCCAACACTTCATCAATGTTACCAGAGGTGGGCACTAAATAGAAACATTCATCAGCAGAAATACCACAAAAAATAAAAAAGAAGAGAGAGAGGGAGGACAAAAAAGATATAAATATATTCCTCCATTTTTCTCTCACAGTTGCAGTCTAGATGAGGCTCTTGAAGAAGTAGACATCTTTCTCTACTCTCCTCCGTATAACACCTGACAAAGAAGAAATGGACTCCGTATACTAAAATCACGTGCTCACCTGTGGTAAAATGGCCGCCAGTATCAAAGTGTTGAGGACGTTTCCCCAGTTTATCTCGCGAGTCAATACTGCTAGGATACACACTGGGGGACTGGCCATGGCGGGAGGAAACTGGAGAGAAAAGTAAAAGCTGTTTCTTTTATTTTTTTTATGTTTTGTTAATATTAGGATGGGTATGTCTCGTACTGGTACATCATATGGTCCATTGACTGATATTCCTGACTGGTCTTATGTAGGTAAGGATATGAATAACACTTTAATATCTAATACCATGATTAGAGGGTAGACACATACAATTATTGGCAATGATAATCTACGTTACATGTTACCAAATATGTTTTCTTTTCATTCCTTACATTTTTTGTAAAATTTTGCACAAGATACAGAAAGTTTGAGAATTTTACAGAAATGTCATGGCAGGCAAAATGATTAGATTTTATCATATTGATTTATAGATGGACGTCTGATATAATGATGTTCTGATAATAGTGGTATAGTACTGAGATTAAAGATCGCTGTCTTGCAGCTAAAATGATTAATTTCTATCAATAATTATAAATGGACGTCTCTCTCCAATGACTAGCAAAAGGCAAACTAATAGAAAACTGAGAATTAACTTTTTAAACGTAAGAAATCAATGTTTATTAGTGTTCTAATTAAAGCCCCTCGTAGAAACGTGTAAAGACACTGCTGAAGGAAGTTGATCTGGCAAAGCTTGAGTCAAAGACAAAGAGAAGAGTACAACCAGGAGGAGGAGGAGGAGGAGAGAAGAGAAGGAAAGAGAGAACTTAGAGGAGAAGGAAGTGAACAATAACTCCTGCTAACTGTAAATTGATAATATTGTTATGTACATGTAGCTACGTTAGTATGAAATGAACATTAAACATTCATAAGTTCAGTATAATAATAATTTATACATGAATTTTTATTAACTAAGTTACGTCATACATTTTTGTTGATGATTGAGATGAAAAAATTCAGTTATTATGCCAACTGTTGTAATGATTTGTATAAAAAGTATTCATAGATCACTGTTAGTCCCCAGATACTTCTCACATGACATTGATAATGATCCATGAATAAAATTCAATGATACCGGTAGTTCAGTTACACATACACCCACTTTTCTTGGGCTCTGGATACACACCCATCCTTTACACTGGTACATGAAGTTGAAGTTAATCTGACCTGCTGCTGCAAAAACTTGTTCCTTTTTAAACTTTTGAAAGTTATACCAACTTTACAGTAGCATTTCTCCTCTTCCTTTACTGTATAAAGTCCTTCTTTGTTTATTGTGGTGTAAAATATCACTGAAATAGCTAAACCTTAAGATACCTAATTATCTCATTGTCTTCCATACTATAGTACAAAATGATTGATGTCTCTCAATGGAGAGCAAGTATTGGACTGTGGAGCTACTGTCAAGCTGCCTCCAGTAGACCAGCTAATAGCCGCCACTCTCACTCATTTAAAGCTGCAGTAGAGAGCAAGCCAGACAGTTCTACTTTTGTTACTCATTCAAAGCTGCAGTAGAGAGCAAGCCAGACAGTTCTACTTTCTGATGTCTCTCAATGGAGAGCAAGTATACAAGCTAATAGCTAAGTAGACCAGCTAAGTAGACCAGCTAATAGCCGCCACTCTCACTCATTCAAAGCTGGAGAGCAAGTATACCAGCTAATAGCTAAGTAGACCAGCTAAGTAGACCAGCTAATAGCCGCCACTCTCACTCATTCAAAGCTGCAGTAGAGAGCAAGCCAGACAGTTCTACTTTTGTTTCTCTTTTATCTGTTACTGTTATGATCCACTGCCTCCAGTCATTAGTCTTGTCTATAGCTACTATTGGCAGTAGCTCTGACCTGATCTACTATTTGGCTTTACTTCTCCTCCTCCTCTTATCAGGAGATGTTGAACTCAATCCTGGTCCTATGATTGATGATCGACCTGATATTTTTCTATTACTTCAATGGCTTGAACCACTTGTTGACTGGCAATCATTTGGTCTTCTCTTACCTGGAATGACACAACAAGATATTACAACAATTGAAGAATTTAAAACTGACAAAGAGCAAAGCAAAGAAGGTCTTTTCTCTAAATGGTTAAAAAAGAATCCTACAGCAACATGGAGAGATATACTCAATGCATTGACTAAAAGAGAAGAGATCAATTTATTACAAACTATTAATGATCAGTTACAAGTACATCAATGTACAGGAGGTATGATCATGTATTTATTTTAATAATTATATTAAATGTATAATAGGTAATACTGATGCTCCTACTAGTACTGTACCAGTAGTATCTACTGTATCATCATCAGTTTCTGCAACTAATAAACCTGTTACTAGCAGTACATCAGGTAAAAACTTACTTAATACAACACTCAATAACTGATACACTACTGCAGGTAATCCAAAGGATATATTAAGGACTCATTCAGATAAATTAGCTCATGCTATTAAAGTGAATCTATACAATGTAACTGATGCACTGTATGCTGAAGGACTAATACCACAACAAACTAAAGAAGAGATGCATGTAGTATTAGAAGTAACTGATAATAAAAAAGCAAGCAACCTTGTCCATGTGTTAGAAATACAGTTAGAAGCAAGCCCAGCACGTAATCCAGAGCAGTATCTTATTGATATATGTCATGTATTAATAAACCAACAACATCGTACACTAACAGATATTGCTACCTCTATATTACACCAGTTAGGTGAGTGTGTGTGTGTACATTATCAGTGATCATATAGTTATTATATATCTCAATACATTAGGTCAATCTATACCTGATAATGTCACATCCATTTGTTCAATACCTGATGATGTTCAAGGATATGCTGATAATATGAGACGACAACACTACAAACACCAACCTATTGTTCCTACAGACTGGCCACCAAGAATTGGAAAAGATTTCTTTGGAAGACTAGCACTAGTAGAAAAACAAGACTTCAGCACACAAACAGAATCAGCTTGGCATCTGCTAAGAGGACAAGTTGATAAAGCAGTTAAACTAACTGAAAACAAAAAGATAAGTGTTGAAAATGTCCTCCAACCCACAGATAGTTCTCTGTCTCTCAGAGTGGTAATAGATGGTCCTCCTGGTATTGGCAAGACCACACTCTGTCGTAAACTGTTAAATATGTGGTCTAATGGACCACTTGTACACCAACAGTATGACTTGGTACTTTACTGTCCTTTAAGGAATAGCAAGATAGCTACAGCTACTACACTAGCTGATTTGTTTGAGTATAGATGTTATGAAGTTCCCATGGTAGCTGAATTGTTTGCGAAGAGGAATGGAGAAGGATTACTGATAATCTTTGATGGTTGGGATGAACTAAGTGAACAACTCAGACAGTCTTCATTAGCTGCTAGTATCATTCATAGAAAGCAGTTAGACCAATGTTCAGTAATTGTAACTTCTCGTAGCTATGCCTCCTCTTCACTTTTGAAAATGGATACTCTAAGTAGACATGTTCAGGTCATAGGGTTTTCTAAGGAAGAAATATCAACAGTAATTATACAAACACTTCAGAAAGATATAAAACTAGCACAAAATATTATTAAAAGCATTCTCAATGACACTGATAGTGAAAGTGATGGTAACTTGATTTATGAAAATGAATTTGACAGTGATGAAAGTGATGATGAAGCTGAAAGCAATGCTGAAAGAAGGCCCTGGGAAGAAATTGAAATGCCAATTATGCAACAATTCAATGAAGATGATGACAGTGATAATGACACTGCATTACCAACAGATACAGACTCACAATTAGCAGTGAAACTTATTAATGATCTTGAAATACGAAATGATGTCCAATCATTATGTTATGTACCACTAGTCTGTTCCAT